TTCCCCCAAAGGCCCCTGGAAACTGTCGCCATCAAGGAAAGAAATGAGCCTGCCCTGGGCCTGGAGATGCCTGCAGGCTTAGGAAGCCAGCGTCCCCAACTCCTTCCTCGAAGCCCAGTGACTGCCCCAGGGATGGGCTGGACTCCGTCCCATCTGCTGGGATGGGTCATTCATTCCCCGGCCCTGGGTAGAACAGAGATTCCTGCCCTCCTGAAATCTCAGTCTCCTCACCTGTCGGTGGGGAACTGCTACAGGAACCAAGTCTCCGGAGCACCTGACACAGCACCTCGCCTCCCTGTCCTGAGTCTTCTCCTCGGCACTGTGGGCTCCTTGAGCATCTGGATGCTCAGAAGGCACTGCAAGAATGGACAGGTCCCCACAAGAGCGGCTTCTAGCTCTGTTAGACACACTGCGGGGGAAGCACCTGCACTTGGCCTTCCAAGCGCATCGCGATCCTTGGGCTAGTAGTTTACACGACGGTTTGTTCAGCAGCTGCCTCTTCTATTAGAATAAACCCTCCGTGGTGGTGGGTCCAGCTGTCTCTACTCACTGACAGCCCCAGGGCTGAGCTCTGTCCCCAAGGGTTCCGTCCTCTAGTCCCTAAAAGCAAACTGAAATTCTGTGAGGAAGGGCACATAGCAGAGTCCCCTCGGCCCACGTCAGATGCCCTGGTGGGAATTCCTAGCTCAGGCTTCTCTCATTCTCAGCCAAGATTTGTGACAGTGACGGGCTAGATGTCCCATTCTGTTCCTTTCATCTTTCTTGGTGATAGTATCCCCGATATTTAGCTGCTCACATAGACTTGTGAAATAAGGTCTATCTTCCTACCCATCTTGTAGGGAGATGTGGCCATGGGACTAATCCTGGCCAATAGGATGTCAGGCAAAGTTCCAAGGACTGGAGGAAGGTGTCCCTAGAGGGTCTCTCAGCCACTCTAGTCTGGGCTCCCTAAGAAGCTGAGCCTGCCTCCAGGGTAGAGGGTGGCTGGAGGGACTCTGGGGAGGGAGGGAGGCTGATGGGCCTGGGATCACCTTGTGGGCAACCCAGGTAGGGTTCCACTGGGACCTCTGGGAGACAGGGGCCATGCGCCTTAGAGTCACACTAAGTGACAGAGAGCTGGGTGCACATCCTCCAACTCGCATCAGCCGTGGCTCAGGGGCTGCCCCCGCCCTGGGCTCCTCATTCCCAGCATTCTGTTGGCCACGTGGGCAGATCTTGACACAGTGGCCATTGAAAGCATGGGCCAGGGCGTGCAGCTACCAGCAGTTGCAGGTGACCCGGGAGTGGCCCGTGGGTGGACCACGGTGGCTACAAAGGTCATCTGGGGTCCCTCCTGGAGCAGGCAGGAAGGACCGCCTCTGCAGGGTGTGGTCACCATGTGGGTGGAGAGATTTCCTCCTGTGGGACCTTCGCTCTCTGCAGGAGGCTGGCCTCCTTGGCCCTACCACTCGGTGCCCATCAGTGGAGAAGTCCCACGTCGTCACTCCCAGGTGAAGACCACCTAGTGACACAGCTGGGGCAGGGAGCTGAGCTGGCCTGTCACTTGGGTTTCCTGAGTCACTCCATCTGCTTGTTCGGAAGAGGACAATCGGGAGCTGCGGTGCCCACTGCCCCGTGCGTCACTAAACTGTATTTCAATGTCCTACCCTCACTAAGGACTAATGTGCTGCCCTCCAGCTGTGGCCCTGGACGTCCCCATACATGCTGGCCCCCAATGAAGCGCAGCAGTGCCCCAGGCTGGCCAGAGCTTTGCTCTCCACCAACGCTCCTCCATGGTGCCTCCTCCTGCAGCCGCCCGAGGCCCCACAGCTGCAATGAGGATAGCGAGGTCCCAGATGCCGGGCGATGGGAGACTCCCATCGCTGCCCAGCAGCCTCTCACCACCGCTGCCCCCACGCCACCCATCTGCCTGCATCTGCTGCCTGCTCCAGGCACCTGCAGCCAGGCTCCCGGCCACTCTCCACCCGCCAGGCCCCTGGCGCCTCCGTGATTGGTGGCCTGCTCAGAATCTGGCACAGATTCTTGGCACTGGGTGTCATAGGAGGGCAGTGCCAGCCTCAGACATGATGGAGTGTCCCTGGCTGCCCGGGTGCCTCGTTACCCGGCCCATCTCCAGCCAGAACCCACCTGGCTCCCTCTGCTCTCCGCTAAGAGCTGAGACCAGATGGCAAATTATCGGGGCTGATTTACAGCGACAGCTCAGTTGGCCGAGGAGTCGGCATGGAGGCCAGCCGGCCTGGAGGAAGAGGCCCCTGAGGCCAGGGAGGGGCAGGAGAAGGGCAGGGGAGTGGCCCAAGAGGGGAAAGAGGGGCGCAGAGGGAGGGGTGCAGCCCTGAAGGAGAGGGGAGTGGGGAGGGGGAAGGAGCAGAGCCGACTCATAGCCGTGCCAGGCACGCTGTGCCCACGGGGAATCTGCTCCAGAGCCTGGCGGTCTCCAATATGGTAGCCACATGTGGCATTTTATCTTAAAATTAATTATAATTAGCTGTAATTAACAATCCAGTCCCTCAGTCACACTAGCCACATTATAAGTGCTAAATGGTCACGTGTGCTGACTGCATTGGAAGACACAGACAGGGAACGTCTCCGTCATCCCAGAAATCCAGGGACGAGTACAAGGGAAAACTTGGAATGATTTCTGACTTAGTGGACTGAGCAGGGGGTGGCAACCAAAGCCACACGGAGACTGGGAGGACAAGCAGAGGGACAGGCTTGGCGTGGGGATCAAAACTTCTGCTTGGGCACATACTAAACTCAAGAGGCCATTGAACACTCAGGCAGCTGTGGCAAGTGGGCGCTTCTGTTCCTGGAGTCTGGAGTCCCTGGAGAAGTCGGGGCTGGGGACTGAAATTGGGGAAGTGGCACCAAAGAGGTGGCTGTTAGAGCCATGGATCAAAGGAGGGGTTTGGGCCACAATCCCCAAAGACAATCCCAACACCATAGTCCTGAATGTTGACGTGCAGAAAGAGCAAACTCCCCAGAGTCTTGAAAGATCTTTAGATAAAATCTGACTGAAACCCTGAAATATCAAAATCTCAACAATATAATTCTGGACAAAAATAATTTCAAAATTCTCCAGAAGTCATTTTATTTACATTTTCAAAAGGGGATTTATTTAGAAACATATACAACATGACATTTCATGGGTCACCTTGCACAGTGAAATAGGCTGCAATGTCAGACCGATTGGCAGAATCCACACTCAGGAACGCTAACAACAGCAGTCACACGGGTTAGCCAACCGGGCAGTGTAGACAGTCTGATGCAAAATATATTCTTAAAGAAATAGGTCAAAAGCAAAAGGCGTAAAGGTAAAACACTCTGGTTGGTGATTGCGGATGCCCAGGTTTATTACTACAGACATTGGAAATACCACAGTGGACAACCAAGGTCTTTTGACAAAATCAATCAAAACCACAATTGGTCCCCGCACCGTGGTGCATACCTGCAATATCAGCAGCTCAGGAGGCTGAGGCAGCAGAATCACAGGTTCAAAGGCAGCCTCAGCAACAGCGGGATGTTCAGCAACTCAGTGGGAGCTTGTCTCTAAATTAATTACAAAGAAGGGCTGGGATGTGGCTCAGTGGTCAAGTGCCCCTGAGTTTAATCCCTGGTACCCCCAGTAAACCCCACAATTGGTCACCACCACAGTTAAACAGTTGTCCAAACAATAGGGATTTTGAGAAATTTCATTTTTCACAACTGTAGATGCACAAAAAGGACGTCTCTCCTTTTGGTTGGCAAGTTTCAATGTTTCTGCGTACGTTCTTATGCACAAAGTCACCTTGGTAGTAATGCACTTTTGCTGAGTTGGACTTGCAAAAAATGCATAAAATAAAACTCTGAAGAGTTGTCACACCATTTCCACCTCCACGTTGGAAGTGAGGCAAGGGTGACCTCCGTGGCGTAGCGAATTGTAAAAACTAATACTGAAGTTTAAAATGTTGGTAGAAAAACAGGAGAAAATAACCTTTAAAAATGAAGAAGATTTGACACGTGAAAAGAGCATTGCAGGGATGGAGCATGCCCAGATGTGGGCGCTGGGGCCTCTGGTCTCAAGCTCCATCCTGAAGGCTTGCTTTGAGACAGACAGAGCAGGCACCTCCTCAGAGGGCACAGATGGGGGTCATGCCCCCTTTCTGCATAGTGGACCTTCCTGCCACCCTGTCCCCTCAGCCACACACTGCCCCCCAGCTTCCCTCCCAGGCATTGCCAGGCATCCAGGTACTTGGAGAATCTGAAATGCAGCAGCCACCTGCATACAACTGATGGTGCGCCTGCCCCTCCCTGGGTCCCAGCCTCTGCCCCCCCCCTGGGTCCCAGCCTCTGCCCCTCTTGGTCATCCCTTTTCGGTGGGAATTATGAGGTTTATGTTTGGCTTTTAGGATTTCAGCGTTCAGGATTTTAATCTTTTGGGATTGTGATTCGGGAGATTAGACTTCGGGGATTTTGATCTTTGGGGATTTCAATATTGGGGATTATGGCATTTGAGTTTGGGTCTAAGGGATTAAGGCGGGTATGGCTTTCCCTGGTCACCAGGAGGGCTCGAGGGCACACTGGCCAGCTCCCACAGGACAGGGTCGCAGCCTGTCTGAGGCAGGGGTTGATGTGACGGGTGTCCAGGGTGTCTGTAGCCCACAGACAGTGAAAGTACCCAGAGACTGGGTCACATTGGGTGTGTCACTATAACCACTAGGAGGAGGGGACAAGAGTCCCCTCCTTCCTCCTCCTGGAAGAGCTACTGACCAGGTCACAGGGTCAAGGGCAGGAGAGCCTAGAGTGACCTGTGGCCCTTCAGAACACTTTATAGGAGAACATCTAGAGGAAGGGCAGCCTCCCTTCTCTGTCAAGAGCCACACAGTGAATATTTCAGATGTTTCGCTCCGGTTTTGCAGGCTGGATGGTCTCTGTCACAATGGTTCGGTTCTGCCACTGTAGCACAGTATGTGACTGGACTGACAAAGCCAGGCAGCCGGCTGGATTTGCCCAGAGCTGCCAAGGAACTGGGGCAGGAGGAACCTCAGGAGGAGAGGCGGGTGCAGGCTTCACAGAGAGGATGAGAGGGCCTGGGAGTGCCCCAAACTGGGCACAAGTGACAGAGAAGTCCCAACACCAGCCAGGCACTGGAAGGGCTCTCTGAGGCTGTGGCAGTGTGGACAGTCTGGTGCCAAGCCCTGAGCTGAGCTGTGACTGGCAGGAGGTGGAGGAGCAGGTGGTGTGGGCGTGTGCACCAGAGGCACAGAGTGGAGGAGCCGCCGCTGCCCGTGAAGCCCCCTCCTCAGGTAAACCTTGGACAACTCTGTGTCTTGTAGGATCCAGGTCCCTGCAGGCTTCTGGCATACGGTGGGGGTACAGCACACCTAGAGGCTTGGACTAGAGACTTCTCTCCTGGAAGTTCACAAATGCCAGGGGCAGAAGAAGGAGGTGGGTCAAGGTCAAGGTAATTGAGACTGTCCACCAAGCAGTGGCTCCTGTTAGCAACCCCAGCCCCTGTGGGTAGCGTGACTGGCAGGGGCATTATGGATCCCTGCACTAAAACCAGACAGGGCTCTTTACAGAGACGGAATGACCACCTAGGGAAAGCCAGAGCGGCAGTGGTGTCCAGCTCACAGAGTCACCCCTTCCTCCCTTTGTCAATGTGCCCCTCCCCCATTCCTTTCTGTGCACATGCACAAAGTGTAATTCCAGCGGTTTGGGAGGCTGAGGCAGGAGGATCAGGGGTTCAAAGCCAGCCTCAGCAACTTAGCGAGTCCCTGTCTCTAAATAAAGTATAAAAAGGGCTGGGGATGCGGCTCAGTGGTAAATGCCCTGGGTTCAGTCCCCAGTACAACAACAACAACAACAAAATGTATTCCATTACCAAAAAAATTAAGATAAATAAAAACTAAGATAACATATTTATACCATAACAAAATAGTGATACTTATGATGCAGAAAGTTTTTTTTTTTAATAAATGATTATAAAGGCAACCCTACCGAAAATGGATGAAGAATAGGAACGGGAAATTTATAGAAATTTCTAGAATGTGTCAGGACGCATACAAAATTCAGCCCAGACTATTTGAGTGGTGGCGGATAACAAAGGCCAGCTTAGAGTGAGGTGGGCAGGGTCGAGGGACCAGGCAGGGACAGCAAAATACCCAGAGACTGGCAAAGTAGGGAGCTGCCACCCACCCTAGGGCTGAAGGGGTGGGGACAAGGAGGGGCCTCTGAGCCCAGCAGAGCTGGCACAGGGAGAGGGGCCGCCCTGCAGGAGCTGGAGCCTGAGGACATGGCAATGCCACAGACATGGGGCTGGACAGGGAGAAAATGCCCTGGTGTCTCTTCTCTCACCCTCCAGTCTCCTGTCCCAGCATTCCAGAAATCTACCCACAAACTCTCATGACACACAAACAGCAGTAGGAGGCTCTTCATGTTGGCATTGTTTATAATGGAAGAAACTGGGAAAAATACCCTCATCCATCTATAATAACACGGGTGTTGGTGAAGACTGCGGTAGCCCCTACTGTAGACATGGGTGTGTGCCAGGGTTGATTCTGCACAACCTGCATGTATTATCTCACTTACTCTCCCGATGATCCTTCTAGGCAGGTACTGTTATTAATCTCGTTGTCAGAGAAGTAAACTGAACATGAGTTGGGAATAGTGACATTGTGGCAGAGGCAGGTGGTGGAGCACTGGTGCCATTAGGAAAGGAAGCGGGTGCGGACATGTGAGTGTGGAAGAAGCACTGCGAAGGGGACAGTGTCTTTGAAGTGTATGTAGAATGTGATCCCTTTTATATTTTTATTTTGTTTTTTATTAATTTATTTTAATTAGATATATATAACAGCAGAATGTATTTTGATTCATTGTACACAATTGTACGTTTCTCTGGTTGTACACGATGTAGCATCACACCACAGGTGTAGTCACACATGTGCCTGGGGTAATGATGTCCCTCTCATTTCACCATCTTTCCTGTCCCCATGCACCCTCCTCTCCCTTCCCTTTGCCCAATCACAGTTCCTCCATTTTTCCCATGCCCACCCCCCATTACAGATCAGCATCTGCTTATCTGAGAGAACATTCTGCCCTTGCTTTTTTGGGATTGGCTTACTTCTCTTAGCATGATATTCTCCAACTCCATCCATTTACCTACAAATGCCATAATTATATTCTCTTTAAATGCTGCATAATATTCCATTGTGTATATATACCACAGTTTCTTTATCCATTCATCTATTGAAGGGCATTTAGGTTGCTTCCACAGTTTAGCTACTGTGAATTGAGCTGCTATAAACATTGATGTGGCTGCATCACTGCTGTATGCTGATTTTAAGTCCTTTGGGTATAGACCAAGGAGTGGGATAGCTGGATCAAATGGTGGTTTTATTCCAAGTTTTCCAAGGAATCTCCATACTGCTTTCCAGAGTGACTGCACCAATTTGCAGTCCCACCAGCAATGTATGAGTGTGCCTTTTCCCTGACATCCTCGCCAACACTTATTATTGCTTGTATTCTTAATAACTGCCATTCTGACTTGAGTGAGATGAAATCTTAAGAGTAGTTTTGATTTGCATTTCTGTAATTGCTAGAGATGTTGAACATTTTTTTCATGTACTTGTTGATTGATTGTATATCTTCTTCTGATAAGTGTCTGTTCAGTTCCTTAGCCCATTTTTGATTAGGTTGTTTGTTTGTTGGTTGGTTGGTGTTAAGTATTTTGAGTTCTTTATATATCCTGGAGACTAGTGCTCTATCTGACATGCATGTAGCAAAAACTTGCTCCCAAAATGTGGTCTCTCTCTTTATCTCATTGATTGTTTCTTTTGCTGACAAGAAGCTTTTCAATTTGAATCCATCCCATTTATTAATTCTTGATTTCTAATTTTAAATTAATGTTTTATTTCTTGAGCTTTAGGAGTCTTAATAAGGAAGTTGGGACCTAATCTGATGTGTTGAGGATTTGAGCCTGCATTTCCTCTGTTAGGCACAAAGTCTCTGGACTAATTCCTAGGTCCTTTATCCACTCTGAGTTGAATTTTGTGCATGATAAGGGTTTATTTTCATTTTGCTGCATATGGATTTCCAGTTCTCCCAGCACCATTTGTTGAAGAGTCTTCTTTTCTCCAATGTATGTTTTGGGTGCCTTTGTCTAATATGAGATAACTGTATTTATGTGGGTTTGTCTCTGTGTCTTCTATTCTGTACCATAGGTCTACATGTCTGTTTGGGTTCTAATACTATGCCATTTTTGTTACTATAGCTCTGTAGTATAGTTTAAGGTCTGGTATTGTGATGTCACCTGCTTCACTCTTCTTGCTAAGGATTGCTTTGGCCTATTCTGGGTCTCTTATTTTTCTAAATGAATTTTATGATTGCTTTTCCTATTTCTATAAGGAATGACAATGGGATTTTAATTGGAATCTCACTGAATCTGTATAGCACTTTGGGTAGTATGATTGTTTTGACAATATTAATTTTGCCTATCCAAGAGCCTGGGAGATCTTTCCATCTTCTAAGGTCTTCTAAGTATTCTATAGTTTTCATTGTAGAGGTTTTCACTTCTTTTGCTAAGTTGATTCCCAAGTTTTTGTTGTTGTTGTTGTTTTTCAGAGTACTGTGAATGGAGTAGTTTTCCCAATTTCTCTTTCAGAGGATTCATCACTGATGTATAGAAATGCATTTGATTTATGGGTATTGATTTTATATCCTGTTACTTTGCTGAATTCATTGATTAATTCTAGAAGTTTGCTGGAGTTTTTTGAATCCTCTAAGTATAGAATCATGTTGTCTGGCAAATAATGATAGTTTGAGTTCTGCTTTTCCTATTTGTATCCTTTTGATTTCTTTTGTCTGTCTAATTGCTCTGGCCAGTGTTTCAAGGACTGTGTTGAATAGGAGTGGTGAAAGAGGCCATCCCTGTCTTGTTCCACTTTTTAGAGGCAATGCTTCCAATTTTTTTTTCATTCATTAAAAGAAGAAAAAGTCAACAAATAAACAACCTAACATTACATCTCAAAGCTCTAGAAAAAAAGGAGAACAAACAAATACCAAAAGTAGTAGAATACAGGAAATAATTAAAATCAGGGTAGAAATCAATGAAATTGAAACAAAAGAAAAAAATTCAGAAAATTGACAAAACAAAAAGCTGTTTCTTTGAAAAAAATAAATCAAATTGACAAACCCTTAGCCACCCTAATGAAAAGAAGAAGGGAGAAAACTCAAATTACTGAAATTTATAATGAACAAGGAAATATCACGACAGACACTACTGAAACACAGAAGACAATTAGACACTATTTTGAAAATTTATATTCCAGTAAAATAGAAAAGCTTGAAGATACTGACAAATTTCTAGAGGCGTATGATCAACCCAAACGTGAGTCAAGAGGTCAGACGTAACTTAAACAGATCAATTTCAAGCAAAGAAATAGAAGACACCATCAAAAGCCTACCAGCCAAGAAGAGCCCAGGACCAGATGAATTCTCGGCAGAGTTCTGCAAGCCCTTCAAAGAAAAACTAATACCAATACTCCTCAAATTATTCCATGAAATAGAAAAGGAGGGAACCCTTCCAAACTCATTCTATGAAGCTAGTATCATATGAGGCAGAGACATGACAAGGAAAGAAAATTTCAGACCAATATCCCTGATGAACATTGATGTAAAAATTCTCAATGAAATTCTAGCAAATCGCATATAAAAACATATTTTAAAAGTAGCGCACCATGACCAAGAGAGGTTCATCCCAGGGATGCAAGGTTCAATATAGGGAAATCAATAAACATGATTCATCACATCAGTAGACTTAAAGAATCATATGATTCTATCAATTGATGCAGAGAAAGCATGTGACCAAATACAGCCCCTTTCATGTTCAAACCACCAGAAAATCTAGGGACAGTAGGAACATACCTCAACATTGCGAAAGCTGTCTGTGCTAAACCCAAGGCCAAGGTCATTCTAAATGGAGAAAACTGGAAGCATTCCTTTTTATATTTTTAAAATGGCAACTCTGTATATGTGATTGTGTGAGGAAGGAACTTCTGGAAGGATGGACTCAACTGATAATGATGGTCGCCAAAGGAGGGGGTATTGAAGAAGTCTGCCATTTTTATTTGACATATAATCAGTATTGCTCGTGTACAAAAAAAAGAAAGGAAGAAAGAAGGAATAAACTGAACAAGAACAAGCCACTGGGTGAGGCTGGGATTTCAACCCGCAGGCTCCAGTCCCAGCAAGGCTGTGTTCTCGCCCTGTGTTCCTGGGGCCTCCCTTCTCCAAGCTCAGCTTCTCCATCTACACAAGGGGGTGCCCAGCGTGGTACCCACCTCCTAAAGCCGGTGCAAGGAACGGGAGGGACTGCATCATCTCCCTGCAGACGCTCAGTAGGGGTCAGGAAGGCTGGGGGCAGGGTGAGCAGGGATCAGGCCATAGGGCCCACATCTGGCCCTTCTCCTCCCAGGGTCCACAGGGCACCGCCTACTCTGCTCCCAGAGCCCAAGACCCAGCCTCCCTGCAGCCAGGCACATGCTCTCTGCTGGGCTCCTTGTATTGACAGGAAACGGCTGCAAGAGTCCTCTGCACAGGGTCTGCAGCCACATCCCTGACCCAAGCTTGAAGTAGAGGCCAGGGTCGCTCAGGGGGAAACTGGATCACATACCTAGTACATCCCTAGGGCTCTCCAGGATTTCAGCTGAATAACTTAGAAAGCTTGCCATGCCTCTCTCAGGGGCTTTTCAAATAAAGCTCATTTAGCACATTGAGATTGATGAGGAGACCAAGAATAGGGTGTTCGCACTCCTTGGTAAGCAGAGCCCAAGGCAGCCTCCACCTGATTTCTCTGACATGGAGCCAGACGTCACAGCTTCCAGGACTTGGGGGGGGGGGAGGCAAAACAAAAGTATTTATCTATATGTACTTATCACGTGATAAATAACATATATAAAATATACACACATATAATTACATAATATCTATAATTATTTAATAACATATAGTATATATTATTTATATTATATTTTAGGATCTAAAATATATAACTAATATAATCTCTCTGAATATTTAAGTTTGGACAGATAAATACCAAACTGCCACCACTGGCTAATTAGAGTCCATTATGTGTTGGTATCCGGGTGAGTGCTGAGGGCTAGGAAAACCAGGAGTATTTTACTTTAAATATTGATGCACTCTTGACAGTTACGATGAGGATATTTTCAGGAATTTTATGTGAGGATATTAATATAAAATAAAAAAGGATAAATGTACCAAATAGAACTGTTCGGTGGAATAAATAAGATCAGCCAGCGATAGAAGCCGTGCCAGGACCTCACTAGACATGAGGGCCATTGCCCTTCACTGGGCCCGGCTCAGGTGCCAGGGCACCTGCAGAGGAGGAAAGCAGGGTGAGGGACTTCCCCCTCCGTCCCCAGCCCTGCAGAGCCTCCAGATGGAATCTCAGAGCAAGGAGAAATGAGTTTTTCCTCCCAGAGAAAAGCAAAGAACTGGTTGGAAGAGACCCTGCCCCTCTCTTCCTGGGACCCTCGGGGGGAGCCCGCCTGCAGCATCAGTTCCCAAGTTACTGGGGGGAATCAAATATCAGGAAAACCTGAGTCTGTAAACCCTCGCTGTTGGATGAGTCCAGAGGAGAGTCAGTCCTCCAGTTGTGGCCGCAGAGGGAGCAAGCCAGGCAGGGCCCTTTCAGGGAAGACCCCAAATGGGATGTCTTGGCTGCTTCTGCCACAGGGGACAGTCCTTGCCACTGTGCAGAGGAGGGTGGGGCAGGGCCTGCGGGTTCCATGGTCCCCAGAATTCCTGCCAGGTAGCCCTGCCTCAAGCTTAGATGAGCTGATGGGAGCACTGAGCAGGTCCTAAGCCACATGCAGATGGTCTATTCTGGCTCCAACTGAATTATTAACCTAGTGCTGGCTCTCCACTTCCTGCTCCCTCACCAACTGCCCATGGCTAGAGGCAGATGGATGTGCTAAAGTGCCCGCAGTCATGGAGAGGGCAGGTCTGGCCTGGAACTGCTCTCCTGATGGCCATGCCAACCCCAGCCCCAGAGCCTGGATCCTGGACGTGGGCCTGTCCACTACTCCCTGACATGGCTTCCCGGGTGGCTCTCCCAGTCACTGGATGTCAGAGAGCCAAAGACCCCAACTACATGCTCAAGTTCACAAGCCAATTCCATGGGATACTGGTGGCTGCTGGCAGCAGACAGCCCAAGGTGACTGGCAACCTTGGGAGGATCTAAGGGAGGACTTCGCATTAAGTCTTCTGGGTTCATTAATAAACTCTCAGCCCCCGCCCGGTTAGAGTTATTGCTCCACCTTGTGGCTATTCCTGGAACTGCATCTCTGCAAAGCCAGTCCTGAGAGGTGCTTGGCCCAAGGGGATGGGGGTGGGGAATGGTGTTTAAAAGTGATGATGTCATCGATAATGACAATGGGGATGATGGGTCAGTGGTTCTACAGTCATTTGCCTTTTTCCACTTGCTGCTCACATCACCATTTGCTGACCACACTATTTAACGTAACATCTGTCACCTCTTTGCTTTATTTTTTTATTGGACTTATATATTACTTTGGTATTAAATTTGTTTGATAGTGTAAACTCCATGAGGGCAGGAGCTTTGTTTTGTTCACTAAAGTATTCTCCGGGGGCTAAGAATGCCTGGCATACAGCAGGTGCTCAGTAAATAATTGTGAAATGTGCCCAGTACAATCTCCATTGCTGATCCAGGAGACTTAGGATCCCTTGGTCACATCCCCCGCTTCAACTCAGCCAGCCTGTGCCAATCTTGCCTTTGTGGTCAGTCCCTTGCCTCAGTTCTCACCTGCAGGGTCTGTGTCTCTCAGTGTTATTCCTTGCAAGCTCTATCCCTGTCTATATCTCAACATCTGCTCCTTCTTGCCCACCCTCTGCGAGCCAGATCTCAGCAGTCTGAAAGCTAGGTATTAATTACTGCCATTTTTTCTGATGAGAAATGAGTTAATAAAGATTAAGCAGTCTTGTGGTTTATCCACCCCCGAGTCTTCCAGAGACCGTCTCAAGGATGCTAATGGGTGAAACTCAGAAAGGTTTCCACAGTGAGGTTTTAGAAAACCCTGGGTTAGACGAAGCACGACTCTTCCTAGCAGACTTGGAAGCTTTAACATGCCTGGGCATCTAGCAGGGAGGGGCGTCCGTGGAGCACGGGGTCTCCCCAACTTCTCTGACTTTAGAACCACTTTTTCAAGGGGCACCTTGCAGGACATGGCTCAGAAAACCAGGCCTACAACCCTCACAGCATTCAGCTCAGCCTCAATTGCTGCGGAGGGTGGGCGGGTGAAGGTCAGGGGGCCCTGCAGGTGATCATCTGACACTCCCAACAACACTGAGGGAGAGAGACCCTTCTCGTCATTTCCCACACGGGGAACCGAGGCCCAGGAAGCCATTTGCTCGGTGGACACTGCCTTACATACTAGAAGCTGGAGGAGTGTGGCCCCCCTCAGGTTGAGAGGCTTGTAATCACTGGGGGGCCAGGCGACAGCAGGGGGCTGCTGAGGACACGCAGGGCAGGCTGTGCCTGGGCTCTGAGGAGCGCCCAGTCCTGACCGACAAATGGCCACCCTCCCCCTCCTCCTGTGCACGTTCTCGGATGTCCCCAGTTTTGATTAAACGCTGCGTGTGGCTGCTCAGAGAGGGAGGCAGCTGCTCTGTATCTCTGTGGCCTCAGGACTGCTCACTGCTCACTGCTCAAACACATTGCAGGGATTTTATAGTGTTTGAACTACTTGGTGTCGCCTCCAAGCACGGCAGGACCCCCAGGCAGGGCTGAGGGACCCCAGGTCTCACTCGGAGGACACTGTGCTGGCACCACAAGGAGTCACCACCAGTCCCTGCCTCCAGGGACGTGTGTGCCAGGACCCACGCTGGCAGGACCCAGGAGGGCTTAGGGGGTGGGCTGAGCACCCCAGTTCTAGTTCCCGGAAGGCAGCTTTACTTCCGACCTCTGATATACACCATCCGGTCCCCCGCTTCCCTGTTTGGTTCCTGGTCCTTTTCTGTGAAGCCACCAAGTCACAGAATTGGCTTTTCTCACACACCCCTTCCTAGGAGCTGGGTGCTGTTCTTGGCTCTGTACCCGTGTGGACCTGCAGAATCCTCCCAGCCTCGTGAGGTGAGCACTGTGGTTACCCCGTTTAATAGATGGGGAAACGGAGGCAGAAAGGGGTTATGTTTTCTTGCCCGAGATCATAAACTGCTAACCAGAACTCAAATCCAGGCACCGCAGCTCCAGAATCTCTGCCCTGTTGTCACCACGAGGCTTACATCACCTGCAGATGCCTTGACTCCCGGGCTGGCCTCACCACTCAGGTCGAGCCCAGCAACCACAGCTTGAGTGACCCCCTGCCTAGGTCTCCCTTACTGACCCTGGGTTGGTGTGCCCTGCAGCCGATGCATTTCCAGAAAAGAAACAGAGCCCAGGCACAACCACGGATCAAGAAGCTTCCCACTCCCTCTGCTCTGCGTCCAGGCAGATCTGTTAGGACTCTGCCAATGGAAGGGAGTTGGAGTGACACCGTTCACCTTCCAGCACCAGCTAATGAAAGCGGCATGCACTTCTGCCCCTCCCTGTGGGGACTCGGCCTCAGAGAGTCCCTGGGCTCCTGGCTGCATACCTCCCCCGCCAGGCGAGCCACTTTGACTAAAGCTACCATCCAGCCAGGTGCAAAGGAGCAAGCTGTCCCCACCAGGTCCTGCCCGAATTGTAGATTCAAGTTAAATGATCGATGTTGTTTTTGAGCCCCTAAGTTTTGGGGTGGCTGTTATGTAGCAGTAGAGAACCCAAGTCCCTGTTGTCCGAGTCTCTGGGACGCCCGTGAGCCTGGTGTCCTCCCTAATGCCACCTCCTGTTTGGGGGCTGGCTTCAGTGACAGGTCAGATCTCCTCATTATGCAACGGGGTCAACTTCAGTCTGTTTTCGGTCAAATGTTCTAGTTTTGATAACGCCTTCATCTGTGGTTTCCCCTTCCATTTTAATTGTTTATTTCTTTTGGTGGCACTGGGGAGTGAACCCAGGGGTGCCCCATGTCTGAGCCATATTCCCAGCCCTCATTATTTTATTTTGAGACAGGATCATGCCGTGGGGTCCAGGCTGGCCTTGAACTTGCCGTGTCCTCCTGTCTCAGCCTCTTAAATCACTGGGATTATAGGCAGGCGGCCACCAAACCCAATTTCTTGAGTTTTTTACTTCAGTTATTTTCTTTCACTTATGAAAGTTATATTTAGTTCTCCTTCAAATTATGCAGCCAATTTTGATCGCCTTTCATAAATTTGTCACACTTTTGGTCCTCTTTTAATTCATTAAACAGACTTTTAAACTGGGTGTGGTAGCTGATTTTATGTGTCACCTTGCCCGAGTTAAGGGACCCTCCTGTAATTGGTAAAACACTCTTCCTGGGTGTATCTGTGCGGGTGTTTCTGGAAGAGACGAGCGACTGAATCACTAGAATGAGTAGAGAGGATCCAGCCACCCCAGCATGCGTGGGTACCGTCCCATTCAGGGAAGGCACAGATAGAACAAACAGGAAGAGGAGGGGAATTCTCCCCTGCACATAGCTCCCCTCCCCACCTCTTCCTGCTGTTTTCCTGGGGCTGGGACTTCATCTTCTTCCCTTAGATGTTGGACCTCCTGGTTCACCTTTGGACTCTGGGACGTATCCTAACCCCAGCACCTACCCCTTCTCCTGCCTCAGGTTCACCCTCTTTGGGCTGAAAGGGCTGCAATGCACCTGCCTTCCTGATTCTCCAGTTTGCAGACTGCTTCATGGGAAATTCTGGACCCTGTGATCATATGATTCAATTCCCATAATAAATCCTTAGAGAGAGAGAGAGAGAGAGAGAGAGAGAGAGAGAGACATATATCTTTATGGAGAACTCTGACTAATAGACTGAATAATGATGACTACAATGCTGCTATTGTGGTTACTAAATGGTCCTTTAATCTGTTCCTTCTTTAAACTCTTACACATGGTGACATTTCCTTGTGTGTGCCAGGATTTTAAATTGCGCGCTCACGTTCTTCATGGTTTTAGTGGTAAGAACTTGTTGGGACCTGTGTTGACCGTGGGTTCCTCAAAAGAGGTTTGCACTTGCTCCTGGCTGCCTGCTGGTGACCCCTCTGGTGCAGAATCACTGGCTCATGTCACCCGGGGTGGAGGTTATGCCACCAGGGACAAACTCAGCCCTTTCCAGGTCCCCCCCGAAGCCCTCCTTCCCTCTCTCCTGCTAGGAGTATTTTGGAAGAGGGTTTGCTTCAGGCGCTGCTGGGTTTCCAGGGCCCAGGGGCAGGTTGCCCACGCGAACCCCAGCTCATTCTCTTAACTGCTTCCTCTCTTACCAGAGATGCCCAAGGAAGTCAGGTAGCTGTGGGGAAGGGGCCACTTGAAATGCAGGAGTGGGATTAAAAGAGAGAGGGAGGGCCTGGGAGCATGGCTCCCGGCCCACCATGCAGGAGGCCCCGGGTCCAGCCCCAACACTGGAAAGAGAAGAAACCAAGAGAGGTAAGTGGGCCAAGGAAAGGAAAGCTAAAAGAGATTAATGGGAGCAAGGAGAGTGTGCGCGGATTTTACTCATTGCAAAAAAAAAAAAAAAAAAAACCCAATATATCACTAACAACTAAAGTCCTTTCTCAAACTATTTAGTGGTCTCAATGTCTTCTCAATAAATAAATGACAAGGGAATTTCATCTTTTGCTTAAGGCATGTTCCCCAACCGGAGAGCACATTGCTACCCCTCTGCCCGGGTTCCTGCTGGTAGGTCCTTCCCGCCCACCTCCCACGCTGGCGGTGGAAACGGGGTTCCTCTGGGTGGATTGGGCTGGCTGCGGAATAAAAGCTAAGGAAGATAAATCAGCAAAAGAACCGCAGGACACAGAAATATTTTTAGAAAGCGGGGGCAGGATGGGCTAGCCGACCTCAGGGATCGAGCTTCCACACGGAAAAGAGAGCGAGCGAAATGGAGCCCACGCTTGCTTTGTTTGTATGGGGAACATCAAAGATTTCCCATGGAATGTTCTTTGCTAAATAAAGCAGGAGAATGGGCTGCCCGGTTCCCAACGGGTTCCGCCCAACTCTGGAGCCAGGAGAGGGGTCTTGACCTTGGGCAATCTAATGGGCATGGGGCTGGGGAGGGGACAGGAGAGTTCCCAAGGGAAAAACTAAGTCTCTGTGGCTCTATTCCAAGTGAACACCCTCAAGTAATTCATGTGTCCCTCCCCGCAGGTCCCCAGGAGTCGGCCTTCCCTTGAGACATCCTGCTCGCCCAGGTCCCTCCGCCATTCAGAGAGCTCCCTTTCCTACCTGGTTGGTCTGCACACCCGTGGCTCATGGATCCGGCATTAGAGCTGATGCATTTGGCATCCATTGTCACAACTGCACAACCTAATAAACACAGTGACCTTTAACTGTAGATGTTTACGTAGCCAGTGGGTGTGAGGGGAGCCCCGCCGTCCTCTTCAGGCCTCAGTGGCTGGGTTTCCTCCTGTGCCTGGAGGCGGCCAGCTATCGGCTGGGAAGGGCTACCCTGGGCTGGGAGGACCAGGCCACTTGGCCCTGATCCAGGTGTCTCTTGCTGTCCACCAGGCCAGCCTGGACATGTTCTCATGGTGAGCGTGGAGGTACCAGGGCAGGTTAGTGAGCCTTGTAGTGTCTCATGAATACCTGGCTGGCTAAGGCCAGTCACAAGGGAAACCCAGAGTCAAAGATGGAGCACAGCCCTGTGCCCTGGTGAGCACGCGGCAGAGTCATAGGGGGAAGGACCTGAATTCAGGGAAGGGTGAGAAACTGGGCCTAGTGAAGCTCTGGGGCCAGGCAGCCTGCTTGCAGGAAGCATGTCAGGCAGTGTTGATTGAGCACCTCAGAGCTCCCTCCCGGACCGCAGCAGGGGTGGACAGAACTCTCCTCCCTCAATCCTATCTGGGCCTTCCAGTCCGAGTGAGTGTGTCTGACTACCCTCTCACTACCCGCCTGCCCTGCTTCAAATGGCTGGTCAACAAAACAACTTTTGTTCTCAGAGTTGGCTCAGGAAGGCAGTGGTCAGCAGGACAGAGCTTGCTGCTGTCAACAAGTCCCCTCCCCAGCTCAGCCAGCGCCCCCACGTAGGTCTCCAGGCACCTTACTGAAAATAAAATGTGGCTGCATCTCCGTCACTTAAAAACCAAGCATCATGTCTTTCCTGCATTAACCGAGGCTCTGTTAAATAGATGACCTGTAGCGAACCTATCAGACCTTCCGATTGTCAATACCATGCCAAAGAGAGCAGCATAAATCAGGGAGCGATTCTGAGAAACTCTAGGATCATGCAGAGAAGCTCAAGGTCAGGGCCAGGCATCTCTCTGCCTTGCACACCCAGAGCCCACACCGGGCTGGGCACACCCTTGCCTTGACATCACACGCAGGGAGCATTCTGGTACAGGGACAAGGCTCAGGCCTCGCACAGCCTGAGGAAGCGGGGGAGAGCACAGGGCTTTGCTATGAGCCTTTCGTGCAGGATACGTGCCAGAGCTACCATGGAGCAAGGGACAGAAACCTACCTGATCGTCTCACTCGACCAAGGAACTGTGAAGGCCAGCACAGAAGCTGGTCTCAGACACCTGGAGTCAAGGACAAGCCGGTTGGCAGCTCTGCGGGATCCCTTCCCGCCTCCGCCTCCTGCTACTCCACCTCTCAGCTTCCCTCATCCCAGAGGCAGAGGCGGGGGAGTTGTTGAGGAACTGACCAGGGACCTCCCAACTTATCCCCATCTGGAAACTGATCAGAGAGCTCTCTTCTCAGCTCATATTGGAAAATTTGAAAAAAAAAAAAAAAAAGATTCTGATTGGGCAGTCCTGCATCATGTGACCAATTGTTCATAGGGAAAGATTCTGATTGGGCAGGCCTGTGCCATGTGATCAATCCTAGGGGAAATTCTGATTGGGCAGGCCTGCATCATGTGATCAATCCGAGGCTGATTCCTAGATTCAGGGACAGGAGTGGCCACACTATGATGAGCAGCCTTTATCAGACCACATGAGGAATTGTTTTGTGCAGGACGAGGGCAAAGCATTCTAGCCCAAAAGGCAGATTTGGCAGGGAACCTCATCTGCAGTGCCAACTAGCCAATGGGAGATGAGCACATGTGTGGATGGTTTAGGTCACCCATTCCCAAGGAGAACTGTGGGAGAGGGAAGTAACAGGATGTCAAGGGTGCCAGGCACTGTGCAAGGTGCTCCACAGCATCATCTCTCCTTTTGACCTCGTAGGGATATATGCTTAGCCCTGTTTAACTGACAAAGAATACCAAGGCTCAGAAAGAGAAAGTGGGTCATTGGTGGTGGAGAAGGCCCTGGGAACAAGCATCTTTGACCTTCCCATATTCCTCCCCCACCAAAATAGTTTAACCACACTGTGAAGCCCTCCCTGAGCCCCACAGTCCCACTGCTAGGTGATCACGGTACAGAAATGAGGGCTGTGCACCGAAGGTAATATGCAGAAGAGTGTTTACAGCAACTGTTTTTCCCAGAAAGACCCCAAAAAGGAAACAAGCCAACATCTGTCCACAATAAAATGGACAAATTATTTGTGGTATACTCACACATGGAATACTATATGGCAAAGAAAATTAATACATTACAACATGAATAAACAGCATGAATAAATCTCACAGAAATTTTGTTGAGTAACAGAAGCCACACACCATATATTACCACTTATGTGAAGTTCAAGAAGAGGGAAAGTTAGTCTAGGTGCAGAGATCAGAATAGTGGTTACCCCTGGAGTGGGATAAAGACTGGGAAGAGGCATCAGAGAGCCTAGGGTGGGGGCTCAAAAACTTGATATCTTGATAGGAGTGATGGTGATGCAGATGTATATGTGGGTAAGAGTACATCAAGCCAAGAGCACTTTAAACATGGCCACACCAATGATCATAGCAGCTCAATTCACAGGAGCTAAGCTATGGAACCAGCCTAGATGCCCTTCAATTGGATAAAGAAAATGTGGTACATATATATACAAATGGAATATTACAGAACCCATAAAGAAGAATGAAATTATGGCATTTGCTGGTAAACGGATGGAACTGGAGGCTATCAGCCACACCAAAGGCTGAATGTTCTCCCTGCTATGTGGGTGCTAACACACAACAAAGGGAGGGGATAATAGAAGTTCATAGACAAAGAGGAATGAAGGGAAGGGAGGGAGGGTGGGGGTAGGAAAGACAGTAGAGTGAGTCAGATATAACTTCCCTGTGTTCATATGTGAATGCACAATCACTGTGACTCCACATCTGAACAAGCACAAGAATGGAAAGTTATACCCTGTGTATGTATTAGGGTTCTCTAGAGGAACAGAATCAACAGGAAGTACAATTATAAAAAGGAGGATTTATCAGGTTGGTTTACGTGACCAGAAGCTGGATAGTCTACAGTGGCCGTCTGCAGGCAGGAGAGCTGGGAGAACCAGGAGCTGTGCAGTGCAAGTGGCAAAGCCCAGGAACAAGAGGGATCAATGGTGCCACCCTAGTTCAAGACTGAAGGCTTCTGGAATCGCCCTGGAGATCCACTGCAAAGTCCGTCCGCTTTGGAAGAATGAAGAAGTAAGACTCCCATATCCTCAGAGGTTCACAGCGGTAATCAAGAACCACTGGAGGAGAACCAAGCTTGCATCTGCGGCTGCTTCCTTGTTCTTCCAACTTTCATTCAGTCTAAGCCATCATCCTTTTGGACAGTGCTGCCCACACTCAGGGAGGGTCTCCACTAGTTGGCTAACCCACACGTCAATCATTTCTAGACACACCCTCACTGACACTCCCAGCAGCCTCTTATTCGTCAGCATCTCTGAACCCGATCAAACTGACAACTCAATTAACCATCCCGGTGTATGTATAATACATCAAAATACACTCTACTGTCATGTATAACTGAAAAGAGCAAATTTAAAAAGCAGTTGTGCACTTCATAGCCCACAGGTTGAATTGTGTGCTTTATATAATTCTTACAAGTTGTGTTGGGAGATAGATATATATATATCATACTTCAATTTTTTACAAAAACTCCATTCACAAGTTTGATGGGTAGATACTGCACTCCCTTCAAGTCTGTGCAAAAGGGTGCTGATGCTTCCCCACCTAGGCTTCAGGTAGAAACTCCTCACTTCTCAGGACCTCTCCTAGAGGGGCTTCAGTGACATCACACTTAAGAGACCCCTCTGAAGTCCCCCTCCCTTCCACTACCTCTCAAGTTCCAAAAGAGTGAGCCCTGGGTTCCACAGGGACCTGCTCTTTCTCTGGCTTCAACCGCCACAGTGAGGTGGGACCAGGGATGGCACCGTCAGCACACCATCATCCTGATCCAGGAAGCCCTGGCTTGGCCACGAGGAACTGCAGTTCCCAGGAGGACTGAGGGGTGCAAGTCAGTCGGCCGACCACCGTCAGTAGCCATCTGCTCACAGAAAACAATGGAACCACACACAGGACCCGTGCCTCCAGTGGCCAGGACACAGCAGGGAAGTGGCTGGATCTTGGGCTCGCATCTCAGGTCATGGGGTCTTTGCTTACCCACTGAATTAACTCAATCGTGCCTCTCTCAGATGGCTCCCCAGTAAAATGGACACAGACCACCTCATCATACACGGAGGTCGAATAGCAAAATGGAGACTTAGCAGAAGGGCTGATCGTATCTTTGTGTAGATGAGAGAAAAGGAAGTTCCATCCATTGAGTTTCTCTCGTATACTACTTTTCCTAGAATAAGACACATGGTGACCATCTTCCATAAAAAACATTAAGTTTTCAAATCTACGATGTCTTTGATATGACTGGTAAGCACTAGGGTTGCGCAGTGCACTACGTGAACAACCATACACATGTTGCTGTTTGTAGGACACGAGGTACTATGCAAATATAAGAGGTTCACTTTATTATTCTGGCCAGGAATTTTAGCCTTCATCTTGTAGGCTAGGAAGAGAGCCCTCACTAAACTCTGGCTGAGCCCATGCTCTGATCTCAGACTTCTAGCCTCCATAATCAGGAGAAAGTAACTTCCTGATGTTCAAACCACTGAGTGTAGGGTATTTTGCCCTGGTGTCCTGAGCCGACTCAGAGGGTTCTGATCATCAAACCCAAGACCCAAAGAGTGAAGCGCTAAGGAGGACTCTCTGAGCAGCACCCCGTCAGCGGGGAGATGTGCTCCAGGGAGACGGAGGCTGCCTCCCTCCCTCATCACACACAGAGGCAGCAGCCTCCTCTGCCCGTGCCCAAAGATGGCTGCGGCTCTGAGTTCTGAGACCCTGTCCTCTGGGACAGAGGCTGATCCTGCAAGACAGTCCCCAGGCAGGAGGCTCCGCGTCTGCAGCCTCCCTCCGGCTGTAAAATTAGACTCGCCTATTTCCAGCAGGCAGCTGGCCTGTGGGAGGCGCGGAGAGTGGGCC